GAAATTTAAGTAAAGAGGGACGTAGTAAAAAGTGAGCTGGGCCCTGGCCTGTATGGCTGTTGGTTGGAGCGTTGTCCCATACACCAAAAGGTGGCGGGGTTCAATTCCCAGTCAGGGCACATATCCAGGTTGTGGGTTTGATCCCCAGTTGGGGCATGTGTGGGAGGCAACCGATCAATGTCTCTCTCTCCCTTCCTCTCTCTAAAATTAAAAAAAAAAGAAAAAAAGAAAAAAAAAAGCTGATTCAATGCTTGGAAAGGGCACCACTAATCATAATCTAGGAGAAAAAAGGACTAGGATTGAGAAACTTATTGTATTCTTTTCCCTTGTGCCTCCTTCTAGGGTTCAATTTCTACTCACCATGTAACCTGTGATGGGAGCCTCAGGTGGGGCAATCTGAAGCCCATGGCTCAGGATTCCTACCCAGTTGCTCAGCCTGGAACCATGCCATAGCAGCATCCTAAGGAAAAGCCACTGTTATTGTTGTCTCTCCTGCAAACAGAGGCATAAAGCCAACAGCTCTCTGTGCCATCCTTCCCTTAGTTCCATAACTGCACTCCAGGCAAGGGAATATCTTCCCGAACCCAAAGCTAAACTGAGACCTGTTATGAAGGTCCTCTTTGAAGGCTTCTTTCTCACCCTCCTTCTCTACTTCAAAAACATCCAGCAAGGTCATGGTATAGTCACTGTGTGTGGGAGCATGGGTAGATTGAAGGTACTGGGAAATTATCTGTGAAAAAGAATGAAAGAAATGGCCAATGTGGACTCTATAATAGACCAGACTAAGCTGAGAACTTCAGGGCCTCTGGTATAAATTGAGACCCTTCTGCTCCCAAATGGTCTCACAAGGCAGTCAGAAAGAGCTCTACCTTCCCAAATTTCTAGTAAATAGAAATTCTGTCCTATACAAAAGTTTGCTCTTAACCAGATGTAGCCAGAAAACAGTGGGGTGGGGAAGGGTAGGTTTTAAAGGTATGAACATAAATGAACATTTTCTTACTTTGAACTCATAACTTTTATGGTCTAAAGGGTGCAAGGCACAATGTAGTTTTTTATAGTGTTGGTCCAATGGATGTTCTGGGCTTTGCAGCTCGGTCTTTACCAGCTTAATGGCAATTTCAATGTCTCCCAAAGCCTGACAAGATGAGATATAGAATCAATATAGGAAGAACCTGGGATAAGAGATTTAATACTTCCCAATCCACACATCTCTCACCTCTAGTAGTTGTATTTTGTCTGACAGTTCTTTCTCCGTCCGGATTAATGGAGGAGTACGGAGTCTAAGGATAGAGATATAACCCATAATAAGTCTCTGATCTGTGGCACATGACTAAAAATAACAGACTAAAGATAGGTCATTTAGAAAAAAGATATAAGAAACTTTGGTTTTTGGGGAGAGAGAGAGAGAGAGAGAGAGAGAGAGATCCGTAAAGATATTTTAACTTCCAAATATAGAGAGATATGATGTATATACTCTGAGTAGGATAAAACATATAGATTTTGACATTTGAGACGAGTTGAAAATTCTTCTTTATGGGATGCTTTTCTAAAAAGAAGACATTAAAAAAAAAGAAAAATAAAGAAAAAGAAGATATATTGCTATCAATAAGGAATACTTTGGGTATAGTCCTGTCTAGAAGCAGTAGACCATTCAGGGTTATTTCTAGTTCACAGAGCTCTATAAAGCATTAGAAGGAATAAAATAAGCACAAGAATATAGAATCAACAAAGATAAAGGAATGTATATACCTAATAAAGGGTGTCCCAAAATTCACACACGAAGTAATTTTGATAGAAAACACAGGTTTATAATTAAAAATTGTAAATTTTTTATTGATTCATATATAGGGTTATGTATGGAATAGCATATTGGGTAAATGCCTCCACGGCACAAAAAACTGGATTATCATGTCGCTATAGCGAGCACCATTAACTGTTATTGCCTGAGCAGCCGCATTTCAGTCATGGAAAATTTCAACAAAAGAGTGCCAGCAAAGCCGTGGAGGCCATTTACCCGATATGCTATTCCATACATAACCCTATACTGTATACTTTATGAATCAATAAAAAATTTATAATGTTTAATTATAAACCTGTGTTTTCTATCAAAATTACTTCTTGCGTGAATTTTGGGACACCCTTTATTTAAGTTCACAGAAATGGTGTGTGGTTATAGTCGCCTTAAAGAACAGGAAATAGGGGGTGATATGCCTGAAGGTGGTTGGATAGGTACTTGTTGGTTGGATAGTTAAACTCATTCTCACTTGAGTTGGTAACTTCCACTTGGTCAGAGAATATGGTTGTAATCGGGCCAGAAGACTGAATTCCATACTTGCAAGCTGATTAGTTAGGCTATCTATTTTGGCTCTGTACCTATTCCAGATGATCATTTCCCTAGAAATGAAAGACTGAGTAGAAGACCAAAGTGAAGTAACAGCACAAGCCTACCCAAAGTCATGTGGGATCCTGGTGTAGAATTCATTGCATGCTTCCACGAGAGCTCGTCCTTGTTGGCCAGCCCGAATACAGTCCTCAATCTTCTTAAGAGACTGGTAACCTGCCTTGATTTGTGCCACTGTCAGCTTCCCTGCAGACCCAGCAAGAGTTGAGACTCCACAACTAAAGTCCTATCCTGTAAACTACATTTATGCCCTGCCCAACAGACTCGCACCTTTCAATTTTCAAAATAGACCCTCCTCCCTCCACACAGCCCCTCACCCCA